GGGCGGAGCCCCGCGACCTCGGCTTCGGAAGCGGCGCGACGATCCCCGAGCTCGTCGGCTCCGACGGCCGGCCGCGCGGCGGCGGCTGGGGGCTCGACGACGACGACGACGCGCCCCGGCTCGCGGAGCCCCGGCTCACGGCGCTGTGAGTTTTTTTTTATAGTCACGGTGCATTTTTCGTTAGAGCGTCGGGAAGCCCGGGAGCGCCGCCGGCACGGCCGGCGCCGCGAGGGGGCTCGGCAGGAGGCAGAGGACGGCGACGAAGAGGCACGCGGCGTAGAAGGTCCGCCGGCCGCCGACGTCGCTGATCTCGTCGACGCAGGGCACCTCGAGGTCGCGGCTCAGCGTGAAGACGTAGAGCAGGTGGAAGAGGAGGAGGTCGTTGGGCCCCGCGATGCCCACCAAGCCCGCGGCGACCGTGCCCAGCGCCGTCGCGCCCGCGGCGAGCGACCGCCCGTACGCGGCCAACGCGCAGCGGCCGCCGTCCGTCCGCCCCAGCGGCAGGAGCGCGAGCGCGTTCACCGCGACGCCCGCCAGGCCCGCGACGGCGAGCGGGTGGAGGGGCACGCCTTTCGCCGCGCCGTCGCCGATGACCGCCGCGAGCGCCGGCGACGACGCCGATAGCGCGAGCGAGCCGACCGTCGACGCGCGGACCGCGGCCCCGGGCAGCGCGGGCAGCGTGCTGCCGAGCCCCGCGTCCAGCAACGACCCCGTGAAGACGCCGCCGACGACCAGAAACGCCAGAGACGCGACGAAGCCCGCCAGGGGCCCCGCGATGGCGACGTCGAAGAGGTCCGATTTCGTGAGCGGATAGTCGTCCAAGTCGTTCGCCGCGCCGAGGCCGCCCGTGCTCAGCGACGGCAGGAAGAGGGGCGGGGACCACTTGACGCCGCGCACGGACGCGGCGCCGGCGTGGCCGAGCTCGTGGGCGACGAGCAGCGCGAGCACGTAGACGCCCACGGGCGTCACGACGGCCAAAGCCTCCGCGTCGCCGGCCGCGAGCTTGTCGTAGAGCGCGTCGTTGAGCGCGCCCGACGACACGGCGAAGGCGCTGCAGGAGAAGAGCGTCGCCGCCAGGCCGACGAGGCGCGCCGCCGCGCCCCCGAGGAAGCCCACGTTGAGCGGCTTCGTCGTTTGCGCCACCGCCACAAAGACCGTCGGCCGCCGCGCGGCCAGCATCAACTCGTTGTCCGGCTCGTCGTCGCGGAGCAGCGTCGCCTCGCCGGCCTGGGCCTTGGCCTGGGCCTCGCGGATGCGGTCGTTGATCTCCTCGTCCGTCGGCGGCACGGGGTCCTCCATGACGAAGAGCTTCCAGTCGTCCGCGAGCGCCTGGGCGGGAAACGGGTGATTCAACGTCGCTTCAACTTGAGTGTTCCGCGCGCGCGCGTTCCAAAAAAAGCATCCACGCGTCAAGAGCGCTCCGAGAGATGATCGCTCGTCCAAAAATCAGCCGAAACGAGTGGGAAACGGCCGAGATAGGAGCCTTTGAAGTTGGGAATTTCGCACCCTTTCCTGCCCTGGCCAGCGCGGCCTTCTTCGCGAGACGTCCAACGCAGACCTCCAGCGCCTCCCTCGCCGTCTTCGTGCGCACGTTGCCCCGGAAGATGGCGCCCGCGGCGCAGGAGTCGACGGCGCTGCAGTAGAAGCCGTCGAGGCCGAAGCACGCGTCCTTGATTTCGTCCGCGACGGCCGCCGTCATCGTGAGCGACGCCTCCGGGAAGAGCGCGAGGAGCGCCTCGGACGTCGCGACCTCGGACGCCCGCGCCTCGAGCTCGGGGTAGCGCCGGGCGACGGCCTCCTCCATGCCGAAGAGGTCGTCGTCGTCGTCGTCGTCGTCGGCCTCGTCGAACGCGAGCGTCGCGTCCGCGAGCGCCTCGGCCTCCTTGAGCTGCTCCGCGGCGCGCCGCTCGCGCTGGAGCAGGAGCTCCGCCTTCTGCGCCTCGAGGCGCAGCTTCTCCGCCTCGAGGCGCAGCGCCTCGGCCTCCGTGGCGCACTCCTCCGCGGTCCCGCAGTCCGCGGCGCCGTCGCCGGCCGCGGCGGTTTTCGCGGCGCGCGCCGCGGGCGCCGCGGCCGGCGCCGCGGCGGCGGGCGCGTAGGGCGTCGCGGCGGCGGCGGCCTCGTCCTCGGCCTTGGCCTTGGCCCGCGCGAGCTTCTCCTTGTTGAGCAGCAGCTCGTCCTTCTTCGCCTCGAGGCGCAGCTTCTCCGCGCGGAGGCGGAGCACGTCGGCGGACGACAGCTGCGCGGCCTCGATCGTCTCGCACTCGTCGACGGTGGCGCAGGCCTCCTCCTCCTCCGTGGGCGCGCCGCGCACCGGCCGCGCGGCGCGCAACAGCCGCGTCGGCGGGGCGATGAGCGCGGACGTGAGGGCGAGCGACGACGCGAGCAGGGCGCGGCGCCGCATCGTTTCTTGAGCTACTCGGGCGACCTTGAATGAGTCAGTTGATGCCTGAGGGAGTCTGGACGCTGCTGCGGCGATGCGAGAACGGCGTCGCGATGCTTCAATTGAGCGGGCGAGAGTGCTACGGCAATGTCGCTGCTCCACCGCGGCTTCATCAACCCGCATTGGAGATCCAAGCCGCGATGCGGAGTCATCAGCATACCCTCGCGCTGGCGCTCGCCACCATCGCGACGTCGCTGGACGTGCGGCCGGCGCCGCTGAAACCGGTCGAGCGCCGGTCGTTCCTCGGCGCGAGCGCTGCGGCGCTCGCGGCCCCGCGCGCGGCGGTCGCCGGCAGCGACGGCGTGCGGCCCGCCCCGGCGGCGATCCCCGTGGCGACGAAGCTCTTCGACCTGCAGGTGCCCTTCAAGGGCAAGCCCCAGCCCCTGTCGAAGTTCCGCGGCAGCGCGCACCTCGTCGTCAACATCAAGATGGACGACCCCGTCGCGGGCGAAAACTTCAACGCGCTGAGGTACGTCGCCGCGAACTACGCGGAGAAGGGCCTGCGCGTCTGGGCCTTCCCGACGGAGCAGGGCTACTACGAGCCGGACGTGAGCGAGCTCGTGCGGGCCAAGGCCTACAGCCAGTTCGGCTTCGGCACCTACCCGACGGCCGTCGTCTTCGACAAGATCGACGTCATCGGCAACACCGCGCACCCGCTCTACCGCTACCTGGCGCTGGCGACGAACCCCAACGGCGTCGGGCGATTGACCGTGAACTTCGAGAAGTTCCTCCTCGACGGCGACGGCAAGCCCCTGCGGCGCTACCCGCGGAAGTTCACCGCGCGCGGCGCCGCGCGGCGAAACGGGTGATTCAACGTCGCTTCAACGTGAGTGTTCCGCGCGCACTCGTTCCGGGGAAAACATCCACGCGTCGCCTTCGCTCGGCGGGCTGATCGCTCGTCCCCACATCGGCCGGCACGAGCGGCGCGACGGACGCGCGTCGGAACCGTTGCCTCGCAGGTACGACTTCGAGCGCGACGTCGCGGCCGCGTGCGACGGCAAGCCGCTCGCCGTGGAGTCGTCGGCGTTCCGCGACGCCTGGGTCAAGGCCGACGCCGACGCGAAGAAGGGCGAGTACTCGTTCCGCGCGCAGTACAACGTCTGGGACCAGTCCGAGCCGTCCAAGGACTGGGACGGCCTCGCGGACCTCGGCTTCACCTAGGCGGCGCGCGCTAAGCGCCGGAGCAGCCTCCAAGTCGAGGGCGGTGCGAGCGCGCCCATGGTCGCCGCGGGCGAGTATGGCTTATGCCGGTTCGGCCGGGGCGGCGGCGGCGGCGGCGCACCGGGGCGCGCGGCGGCGGCGGCGGGCTGGGTGAGGGGAGGGGCGCGGCGGCGCGCGACGCGGGAGTCGGTCCCGGCGCGGGGGCGCGCGGCGCGCTGGGCGCGCGGGCGCTTTACTCGCGGGCCATCTTGTCGTCGGCGACGACGGGCGCGCCGCCCTTGTGCGAGCCCTTCGCGTTCGAGGCCTTGACCTGGGCCATGAGCTTCTCCGTGAAGGCCTGCGAGTCCGACGTGCCGTACATGAAGGACGTGGAGCAGCAGCGGACGCAGAGCGTGTGCGGGCAGCAGTCGCAGTAGAAGGGCGCGACGGTCACGAGCTCGCCGAAGCAGGGCTTGCAGCAGCAGTCCCAGAGCCAGGACATCGGGATGCAGTAGAGGAAGTACATCGAGTCCTTGTACGACGCGAACTGCGGCTTGCAGAGGCCGAAGCAGGTCGGCTTGAACGGGTTCATGTCGAGGTACTGCTTAGAAACATTGTCGTAGACCTCGAAGCAACACGCGAGGTAGCAGGCCCGGTTCGTCTCCAAGGAGTCCTCGTTGATGCGGTTGTACTGGCGAGTCTGGGCGCAGGCGCAGCACGGCATGGGTACGCAGCATCCCGTCGTCGGCTCGTCGTACGTGATGCGCGTCACGCTCGGGTCCGCGCGGAGGGGGAGCGTGGTGTCGTCGCAGTCCATGGCCTGCGGCGGCGGCGGGACGTCGGGCGTCGACGCGTCGGGGCGGTCGACGCGTCGACGCGTCGGGGCGAAGGCTCGACCGAGCTCTCGGGGACCGGTCAATACTCCCCGAGGTCGCGACGAGGTCGCTCTCGACGAGCGCAGGCGCACGCGCGCGAGCGCGTGGGCCACTCCTCGCGTCGAAACGATCGAAGTTTTCACAGGGAGCGCAGGGCCCAGCCCATCATCATTGTGTCGTCGCGATGTGTGCCGGTCGACGAGGAGTCGAGGCGGCGTCTTCGGGAGATTGGAGGCGCGCAGGACGCGGGTGGGCGCCGAGAGCGAGTGGTCGATTGAGCTGAAATCTTTGTGCCGGTGCACCGCGGTGTGGGATGTGGCACGCAATCGAAATCGGCGAAATCGAGCCTGAGGCTCGAGGCCTCTCCCGAGTCCTCTCCCCGAGAGTCTCCGGCACCGGTCGCGGGTCCGCGCCCGCCCCCACGAGCCGCGTCGGCGGGACTTACGACGACGCGTCCCCGGGGGGGGGAGGGGGGGAAGCGGGGGGCGTTTCGCGCGCTCAGTCGCGGTTCATCTTCTCCGCCTCCGCGACCGCCGGCGCGCCGCCCTCCGTGAGGTTGATGCCCCCCGTGTGGGCGCCCGGCGCGTTCATGGCCTGGACCTGGGCCATGAGCTTCTCCGTGAAGGCGTGCGAGTCCTTGGTGCCGATCATGTAGGGGAAGGAGCAGCAGCGGATGCAGAGCGTGTAGGGGCAGCAGTCGCAGTAGTAGGGCGCGACCTGGGCAGGAAAAGGGTGATTAAAGTTCTCTTCAACATGAGTGTTCCGCGCGCGCGCGTTCCGGAAACAGCATTCATGCTTCGAGACCGTTCCGAGAGATGATCGCTCGTCCAAAAATCAGCCGAAACGAGTGGAAAACGGCCGAGATCGGAGCCTTTGAAGTTGGGAATTTCGCTCTCTTTTCCTGCCCTGGGCGCGACGGTCACGAGCTCGCCGTAGCAGGGCTTGTAGCAGCAGTCCCAGTAGCAGGCGCAGGGGATGCAGTAGAGGCAGTACATCGAGTCCTTGTACGACGTGAACTGCGGCTTGCAGAGGCCGAAGCACGTCGGCTTGAACGGGTTCATGTCGAGGTAGGTCTTGTGGACGCTGTCGAAGGTGTCGCAGGTGAAGCACTGGTAGCAGGTCCGGTTCGTCTCGATGGAGTCCTCGTTGATGCGGTTGTAGTCCCGGCCCTTGGCGCAGGCGCAGCACGGCATGGGTAAGCAGCACCCCTCCGTCGGCTCGTGGTACGTGATGCGCGTCACGTTGGGGTCCGCGCGGAGGGGCAGGGTGCGCGCATCGCAGTCCATGGTGGTGGTGGAACAGGCGGCGGATCTATAATGCTCGGGAACAGGCGGCGGATCTATAATGCTCCAATGGGCGTGTCCACGACGTCGTGTGGACGCCAATCAGGCAGCCTTCCGAGTACCTGTATCCGAAAGCCAAGTCTGCGTTACCTCTGTATTGACCCCGAGCGGTTGACACACGGCGTCCAAAGCGCTGCGCGATGGAGGACGTCCAGCTGCCGTCGCTCAAGACCCGGGACGCGCGCGAGTGCCTCGCGCGCTGGGGCCTCGCGGGCCTGCGCGTCGGGCGCTTCCGCTACGAGTTCCAGGGCGACGTCGACGGGCGCAACGCCGCGGCCTTCGTCGCCGGGCTGCTCGACACGCCCGGCGTGCGCGCCTGGCTCAACGCCGAGGCGCCGGCCGACGCGGCCGTCGAGGCGACGCGGCTCGCGACGACGGCGACGTCCATGGCCCTCTTCGACCCGCTCGTCGAGTGCGCCGAAATCGCGCTGCCCGCGGGCGGCGCGCGCCAGTGCCCGGAGGTACGCCTCGGCGGCGTCGCCGTCGACGACGAGCTCCGCAAGTGGCTGCTCGTGACCGCGGGCTTCGGCGCCGACGACGACGACGTCGACCCCGTGGAGTGCGCGGCCGCGGCCGTCCCCCGCGACGAGCTCCTCGCGCGGCTCTTCTCGCTGCTCGCCGTCGGCGGCGCGATGAGCCAGCCCGACTACGCGCTGGCGCCCTACCTCGACCTCGCCAAGGCCCTCTACCGCGACGTGGCCACGGTCTACCGGCGCGCGTCCGACGGCGAGGTCGCCATCGCGACGAAGGCCTTCGCGGTCGCCGGGCCCGCGGCGTTCGCGCGGAACGGCGCGCACCCCCACGACGCGTGCCTCCTCCTCGTCGAGCCGAAGAAGCGCAGCGCGACGCTGCTCCACAGCGACGGCGGCGGCGGCGCCTGGTAGGGTCTAACATATCCCGCCGGCGGGATATGGTAAACGCCGCTTCAACAGGGACTTCACCCTCAAACCTTGCACTTCAACAGGGACCTCAACACAGCCGCTTGCCCTTCAAAAGGGACCTCAACACCGCCGCTCACGCCTCGCCGAGGACCTCTGACGCGCCGCCCACGCCCTAGGGAGGGCGACCCGCCCCATGCCACGTGCCAGAAGCCCTCCAGAAGCCCTCCAGCCGGAGACGGCCGAGAAGACGGGCTCGCCGTCCTTCTCCTTCTTGCCAGTGGCCATGAAGCAGACGAACACGAGGGCGAGCGCGAGCAGGACGACGAGGATGATGACGGGCATGCCCCAGCCCTCGTTCTGAGCAACGCTGTATGCGAGTGTTGCTCCGGAGTGCTCCGCTTTTGATGAACAAAAAGGTGCAACTTGACTTCAAGGCGAAGGAGTAGTCGGCGACTGGGCGGCGCGATGATGGGCCCATGGCGTGCGGTGCTGTTCTTGGGAGTGCTGCGGCGGTCGTTGGCGTTTTTTGGACCGGCGCGCCGTGATAAAAAAAATCTTGTCATGGCGCTGCGAAGTCGTGCCTCGGACTTGCTGTACAACGACCACCAAGAGGCGATGGCGAGGTGCGCGGAGGACGAAAAGGTGTTGCTCGGGCCGAACGCGGCATCGTTCACGGCGTTCAAAGAGGGCGACGGCGCACCGAAAAAGAAGACAACGTCGACGAAGCGGGGCTCGGGCTTCAAGGCGCAGAAGCCGGTGGCTGCGGCGGAGACGAGGCCGCGCGTGGCGGAGACGGCGGCGGCGCAACGGCGCGTGCTGAAGCGGGACGGGTGCGTGCGCATCGCCGCGGCGCTCGATCCTAGTACCGCCGCGGCGCTCCTTGACTGCGTCGTCAGCGAGGTGGCGCAGGTGAAGCTCGACGTCGAGTCCGCGCCCGAGACCGCGCGGGAGCGCTTCGGGTTGGAGCCCGAACGGCGGCGGCGGTGCGTCGTGCTCCTCCCCCTCCTCGCTGCGGAGCTCTCCTCGACGCGGCCACCAGGTGAGCCCGACGCGATCGTGACCGCGTTGCGCGAGCTCCTCGGAACCGAAGTCGAAGCGTCGGAAGAAGAAGGCGTCGAAGTCGCCTCTTCTTCGGAGGGCTCGATCGGCGGGCTTCTGAGTGCGGTCTGCGGTGGCGACGGGGCGCCGCTCTACGAGCTCTGCGCGCTCGTCACCGAACCGGGCGCGCTGCGGCAGACGGTCCACGCCGACACGCCGCACCAGGAGCACTCGCCGCTCTACGCGGCTTTCGTCGCGCTGCAGGCGGTGACGCTCGAGATGGGGCCCACCACCTTCTTGCCCAGGACGCACACGTACAAGTCGGGCGCCAAGGAGCGCTTCGAGCGCGGCTCGGACGCCAAGGCCGCGATGCTCTCCACGGCGCCGAGCTCGCTCGCGATCTGCGACGCGGGCGACGCTTTCGTCTTCGACATGCGCGTGCTCCACGCCGGCGCGGCGAACGAAGGCGACCCCGACAGCGCGCACGGCGGCGCGCGCGCGCTCTTCAACCTCACCTTCCGCAACAGAGCCGCGACGCGCAGCGTCGGCCACGTCGGCTCGCTCCTCGCGCGGTACAAGTCGCACCCGCCCACGCTCGCCGAGTTGCGGCGCGAGCTCGGTGGCCCACGACCTTTCGAAGCCGAGCGGGAGGTCCCGAGCCGAGACTAGTCCGCCGCTTCCGCCGCTTCCGCCGCTTCCGCCGATTCCGCCGATTCCGCCGATTCCGCCGATTCCACCGTCGCTTCCGCCGCTTCCGCCGCTTCCGCCACTTCCGCCGCTTCCGCCGTGTACGTATACCAGTAATTTAGTAGCTCCCGGTCGACTCTCTCTTGAAGAGGCAGCCTTTTGGAAAGCGGCGCTCTCCGGAGCAACACTCGAGCTCGCATACTTCAATGGCAGTACAGTCGTATCTACGGCTCGCGCGTTACGATCCCCAGCCTGAGCCGCGCGACGCGGGCAGCGTGGCGCCCCAGCCGCCGCCTGAGGCGCCGCGACGGGTCTCGGGGGCGGCGCCGCCCCAAGGGGTTTGGGGTATTTCGGCTCCGCGGAAGGGTTCTGGTGGGCTTCTGGCACGTGGTTTGGGGCGGGTCGCGCCCCCTAAGGCGTGGGCGGCGCGTCAGAGGTCGGTCCCCGGTGAGGCGTGAGCGGCGGTGTTGGGGTCCCTTTTGAAGGGCAAGCGGTGGTGTTGAGGTCCCTGTTGAAGTCCAAGGTTTGAGGTGGAAGCCCGGGTTGAAGCGGCGTTTACCATATCCCGCCGGCGGGATATGTTGGGTCGTAGTTAGGAGGGCGGCGCGCGGCTCGGGTCGCCGAGCGCGGCGAGCGCGATCTCGAAGGACGTCAGCGCGTAGCCGTCGACGCCGAGGAAGACGCGCTCGTCGCGGCAGAAGTGCTTCGCGAAGGCGACCTGGGCGTGGGGCGTCTCGATGCGCGCGTCGCGGACCGCCTCGCAGAGCGCGGGCATCAGGTCGTCGGACGCGACGGAGTCGATCTGCCGCTTCTCGAGCTCCTCCGCGAGGGCCTCGAGGGCGCCGACGAGCGCCCGGAGCTTCGCGCGCGCGCTGCGCTTCGCCGGCAGGGACCGCAGGTGGCGCACGGACGGCCGCGTCGGCTCGTCGCCGCCCGCCTTCGTCGGCGTCGCGGCGCGCGGCGGCGTCCGCGACGCCGCGGCGACGAGCGCGTCCGCGGCGCGCGACTCGGCCCGGAGCGCGTCGAGGACGAGGGCGTAGCGCACCTCCTGGCTCGCCCGCGGCTCGCCGACGGCGTAGACCGCGACCTCGTTCGGCGACGCGCCCCGCGGGCGCTCGCCGTCGTCGTCGCTGTCGTCGTCGTCGCCGAAGAGGGCGGCGTCGATGGACTCGAGGCAGGCCACCGTCGAGTCGGCGCGGTCCCCGAGGGGCGGGTGGAACTTGAAGACGGCCTCGAGGACGACGCGCGCGGCCAGCAGCGCGTCCGCGGCCGCGTCGTTGCCCCGGCGCACGCACGCGGGCGACTGCTCCGTGAGCACCTCGAACTCGACGTTGTCCGCGACGACGCTGCGCAGCGTGCCCGGCGCGTCGGCGAGGTGCACCTCGTGCTTCGCCTGGAGCTCGCCCGCGACGGCGCGCAGCGCGGCCCCCGGCGCCGTCGACGCGTCCCTCAACGCGCGGCGGCAGATCGCCGCGGCGACGGCGGCGACGGCCGACGCTGCCGGCTCGCGGCGCGCGCGCGCCGCCCGGCGCCGGAAGGAGAGGAGCGCGTCGTAGAGCGCGTCCGCGCGGCGCTCGCGGCCCACGCCGCGGTACCGCGCGTGCGGCGCCTGAAACGGGGCGATTCAACCTCGCTTCGACGCGCGCGCGCGCGTTCCAAACGAAAAACGCTCCGAGCGATGGTCGCTCGTCCGAACATCAGCCGAAACGAGCGGACGACGGCCGAGAGAGGAGGCACCCCTCGTCCCGCGCCGCGCGGCGCCTTCGCGGCGGCCCTGTTGGCCGCGTCGCGCAGGTCCGGCGCGTCGAGGGCGCCCGGCGGCGCCCGGGCCGCGGCGCGCGCCGCGTCCGCCGCCGCCGCGTCGAGCCGGCCCCGCTCGCGGCGGCCCGCGCTCTGCGGCGACGGCGCGAAGAGGCCGATGGCGAGGCGCTCGAGCTCGCGCTCGAGGATCGCCGCCTCCTCGAGCGACTGCTGCTGGTCGTCGAGCATGCGCGCCACGGGCTTGCCGCCCGCGGGCGTCGACGACGCGAGCTCGGAGTCGTCGTCGGCCGCCGCGGGCTCCGCGTTCTTGCGCCGCGGCGGCCGCAGGATGGGCAGGCGCCGCCCCTCGGGCGCGGGCTCGGACTCGAAGCGGACGTCGTGGAACGTCTCCAGCAACTCGCCGAGCGTCAGGTAGGCGTCCTCGCCCGTGGAGCTCCGCCCGAGGCGCGCGCGCCAGGGCGCGCCCGCGTAGTCGCCGCCGCACTCGAGCACGCACGCGAGCGTCCGGTCGCCGTCGGACGCGGCGAACGCGTCGCCCGCGGCCGGCGCGCGGCCGCTAGCCGTCGCCGCGACGCGGCGCCGGAGCTCGACGTAGCAGGCCTCGGCGCCGCGCTCCGTCCAGGGCGTCCAGACGTCGGCGAAGAGCGCCGCCGGCGCGTCCGTCGAGTTCACGCGGACCTCGTTGTAGCGCTCGAGGAGCGCGCCTAAACTCAAATCCAACTTCTCGTCGCTGAACTGGCGCAGGGCCACGTTCGCCTTCGTCTTCTGGGTCCGCACGGTCGCGCGCCACTCGCCGCGGCCGTCGACGTCTAAAAGCGCCCAGTCGGCGAAGCCCACGAGCGAGTTGTGGAAGCACTGGATCTTGCATCCGGCGCGCGGCGCCTCGGGCGGCACGCCGCGCCGGATCTTGCCCGCGCGCCACGCCGACGCGACGTTGCTCCGCCGCACGAGCTCCTGGAGGCACACCTCGTCGCTCTCGAGGCTCCAGCGCTTCGTCGCGACGGGCGTCGCGACGACGGCGTCGACGCTGAGGACCGTCTCGGCCATGCCGTCGCTGCTCGCGTCGCTGAGGCTGTCGGAGAGGCCGCGCGCCCGGGCGGCCGCGCGCCAGTCCTCGGGGCCGTCGAAGGCAGCCAGCGTCTGTGTGTCCGGCTCGGCCCCGCGCCCTCGAGCAGGACCTCGTCCGCCTTCGCGATGGCAGCAGCTAGGCAATACGTCGGCGCTTGTGGCAATTTTCGCTTCAATATTTCTTCAACAATAATTGCTTGAGCTTTTTTACCGTCATGGCCCGCCTCTGCGCGCTCGTGTTCATCACAAATGCCGCCGCGTGGACCGCGCCGCGGCGGCCAGCACCCTTACGAGACCGATGCACGGCCTTGCGCGTCGCCAAGCGCGGCGACCGCGCCAAGAAGAAGGTCAAACTCAAGGACAAGGTCATCAGCGAGCCGCGGCCGGCGAGCACGGGCCGGCGCGTCGAGGACGCGCACTCGAGGACGTGGATCGACGGCGCCGAGGCGGCCTGGCTCGCGGCGGAGGGCGGCGACGCGGCCGGCGCCTTCGCGGACGCGCAAACGGACGCGTCCTACGGCGAGTGGCTCCGGCTCTCGTCGCCGTGGGCCATGGCCGCCGACGCGGCGCCGCCGGACCTGGACGCGGCGGCGGGCGCCGTCGCGGCGACGGAGCGCTGGTGCCGGTGGATCGCCGACGTGAAGCTCTGTCCCTGGGCGAAGAAATCGCTCGAGACGCCCGCGGCGTGCAAATTCGCCGTTTCGGACGCGGAGACGCCGGGCGCGTTCGCCGCCGACGTTTTGGCCGCGTCGCGGCGCGCGGCGGCGTCGGCCGCGGACGCGTCGGCGGGCATCGCCTTCGTCGTCGCGCCCAAATTCCTGCCGGACGACTTCGAGGCCTTTGCTGCTTTTCTCGAGGAGCTCGAGGACGACGTCGTGCCCGGCGCCGTGCCGGACGTCCAGGTCGCGGGCTTCCACCCGGCCTGGACCTTCGCGGGCCTCGACGACGACGACCCGCTGCGCGGCCGCGGCGCCCTCTTTTGTTTTCCTCCGAAACGCGCGTTCGACGCCCCGCAGGCACTTCGAGAAGCGCGCGCCGCACCCGACCGTGTCCGTCGTCAAATTCGCGGGCCTCGACGGCGCGGACTCGGCGCGCATCGGCGACGACAACGCGGCGACGCTCGAGCGCCTCGGCCACGACGCGCTCCGCGCGGCCTTCGCGGGCTTCGCGCGTCGACGGCCCTAAAGGAGCTCAGGCGCCGCGCCGCGCGGTCCCTAGCAAGGGCACGGAGGTGTACTTAGATGGCGCCTAGGCGGCGGCGAGCTTCGCGTGCTTCGCGGCGACGGCGTCGAGGGACTTCTGCATCGCGGCCTGGCTCATGAGCGCGAGGTCCGCGGTGGTCACGGCGCCCGCGGTGCCGTCGGCGAGCTTGGCGTTCCACTCGTCGACGGCGTAGAGGCCGCAGACGACCGTCGCCCGCTTGCCCGGCAGCGCGCAGTCGTGGGGCCAGAAGTCGTGCGTGCCGAACGCCGTGAAGCCGTAGACCGGCAGCTTGAGGTCGATGGCGAGCTGGAAGGAGCCGCGGCGGTGGGCCATGCACTTCGTCGGATCCTTGCGGTTGATCTGGCCCTCGGGGCAGAACGTGAGCACGCCGCCGCCCGCGGCGACGTGCGCGCGGATCTTGGCGTTCACGGGCGCCTGCTTCTCCTTGTCGACGGAGAACTTGCCGGCCTCGTCGCGGAGGAAGTGGACGGGCTGGTGGCCCAGGCATTTGAAGATCGTCCCCGCGAGCGGCATCTTGAAGGCCTTGGCGATCATCAAGCTCTTCGCGCGCGCCATGACGTTGCGCGACGCCATGGCGCCGAAGAAGAAGCCGTCGAACTGCGACGCGTGGTTGATGATGACGACGCAGGACTCGTCCGGGATGAGCGCGTCCCAGTCCGCCTCGCTCGGCTCGTCCTCGATCGTGAGCCAGAAGGAGCAGCGGAGGAGGGTCCGGAGCAGGAGCCGGCACGCGTAGAGGGACCAGCGCTCGCCGCGCCGCCGGTTCCCGAAGCTCGCGAGGTGGAAGGCCTTGCAGCTCGAGAAGAGCGCGAGGCCCACGGGCACGGCGGCGAGCGCGAACGCGTAGTTGCCGCGCGTCAGCTGGCCGCCTCCTTTGGGCATTCTTCGGCCGGCGGTTGTACGATTTCAAAGCCCTCTTGCGGGAGCAGGTCCTCGAGCGCTGTCGTGTCGAAGGGTGCGTTGGTAGAGAGCAGCGCCTGTGCCGCCTGCGCCGGCGGCGGCGCCTCGGGCTTGCGCTTGCGGTCGGGCCGCTCCAGCCTTCTGCTCCGCCGGTCGAGGCGCGGGCCGCCGCTGCTCGAATTGCCACAAAAGTTCAAACTGAACTAAGATAACACTCAACACATCATCTGCGGGTTGGGCGACTGCCGCGCGCGCTCGCCTCGCTTGGAGGCCTTCGGCGCGAGCCTCGAGGGGAGCTGGGCGGGTTGGCGCCCCCGGTGGTCTCGGCTTGCGGGCTTGGATGTGCCAGCGTCCATTCGTTTCTCTACCTTCTTGCGTCTGTTCAGGGTGTGCTCCCACGTGCACCTCCTTAGGTTCCGCTTGCGTGCCGCCTTGGGCTGCGCCGCCGCCGCGCGATGATCTTGCTCGCGCCTTTGCGTCGACGTGCGGCGAGTCCTTCGTCGTCCGCGCCGCGGTATCCTCCTCTTCTGCGTTGGCTCTTCCTCTATTGCAGCCGTCGCTCGCCTCTGCCTCTGCCGCCGCTGCCGCTGTCGCCTCTGCCCTTTCTGCCGCAGCCGCTGTCGCCTCTATTGCCGCCGCCTCTGCTGCCTCTGCTGCCCGCCTCTGTCTCTGCCGCCGCCGCCGATGTCGTCTCTGCCTCTGCTTCTGCTCCTGCTGCCGCCTCTGCTCCCGCCCGCTGGCCGGCGGGCGTCCTCTTCGGCGTGCGCCCTCGGCCTCCATTCGTGGTCCTCGAGGTGAATCGGGCTGGTCCACCCGGAGTTCCTGCTCGTTTGCGTGCGAGTGCCCTCGTTCTCAACCTCCCCCGGCCCACGGAGAGTCCGTTGAGTGTCGTCTGATGAGGCGACTCAGGAGCTGCCGCCCCGCGCCTGCTCGGTCTGGTTCCCTCCGCGGGCGTGCCTCCCCCCCCCCGGACGGACTCGTGACGGACGCAGTCGGGCGGGCATCCCCTTCAATAACTTGGTCAACACAGGATCAAGACAGGTTTGAGCCGCGTCCCGCCGTGCTCGACCTGTTCCGCGGCGCGCGACGCCAACACCCATGGCCGACATCGCGGCCCAAATCGCCAACACGGCGTCCATGGCCCTGAGCAACGCGAGCGCCATCCTCGCCGCGGACCCGACGCGCGCCGTGCCGCTCGGCACCTTCCTCGTCGTCCTCCTCCGCTGGCCCGCGTGCCTGCTGCGCGCGGCCATGGTCGCCGTCTGCTCCGTGGCCTTCATCGGCCGCATCCCCGCGCCCTACCACATGGGCGTCGCCCTCTTGCTCGTCGTGCCGCCGCCGAAGAAGAAGGCCGCGGCCGTGGACAAACGCGCGCTCGTGAATTCGGAGCGCCACGCGCACCACCGCGCGCGGCTCGTCGCGTTCTACGAGGCGCACGCGCCGGAGAAGGCGACTTCGGCGAACATCGACGACGTGCTCGTCAAGTACCTCGGCCGGGAGCCCAAGCTCTTCGCCATGCTCGAGAAGAAGTACCTCGGCGACGTCGGCGCCGAGCCCGCGGGCGACGAGCACCTGCCGTCGCCGCCGAAGAAGAAGAAGGCCAAGGCGCCGGCCAAGGCCCCGGCGCCGCCGCCGGGCCTCCTCTCGCCCAAGGAGAAGGCCAAGCACGACGCGCGCGCGGCCATGGAGGCGCGCGTCAACGCGCGCCTCGCGAAGAAGAAGTGAGCCGCGCTGGTAAGCGCGCCCTGTGCTCTGGGGTGGGGGGGGGGACGTCCGTGGGAGCGGCGCGTCGCCTCGTTCGTGTATGACGGCAACATGCACAGCAGCATCGACCTCGACCTCGAGTGCTGACGACAATGGCCATGCGTGCGCTCTTCCTCTTGCCTGCGGCTCTGGCCCTCGTCGCACCACCAGCGGCGCGCCGCGTTCATCAACCGCTGCGCGCCGCGACGCTCGAGTCGCTCGAGCAGATCCCGACGCCGGCCTTCGGGTCCACGATGGGCGACGACGTGACAAGGCTCAAGGCGCAGATCCTCCACTACGGCGCGACGCTCGACCGGGGCCAGGGCTACAACCCGACGTCCGGCGACCAGTACAAGGGCAAGATGGACGCCGCCATCGCCAAGGTCGACGAGCTCGTCGCCCGAAGCACCGGCGCCGTCGCGGACCCCGCCAAGCTCGAGGGCCGCTGGGAGCTCGTGTTCTCGTCCGTGCCGCACGGCATCTTCCGGAGCAGCCCCTTCTTCCTGGCCATCGAGGAGGCCTACCGCCGCGTGGGCACGCCGGAGAAGGCGAGCCTCTTCTTCAAGCTGCACGAGCTGCAGACGTGCTCGTGGGGCGCGTCGAAGATCGGCCGCGTGAGCCAGACCGTCGACGTCGCGAACAAGATGCTCTACTCCGAGTTCGACACGCAGCTCTTCTCGTTGACCGTGATCCCCGTGCTCGGCTGGTTCAAGCTGCTGCCGACCTTCGGGGGCTGCGTCGTGACGGCGTCGAAGCTCGACGTGCAGGACGCGAGCCTCGAGCTCGAGGTCGACTACACGACGGCGAAGCCCGTCGAGGGCCTCAGCGGCCTCGGCGAGTGGATCTGGAAGGTCAAGGTGCCCGTCGGCGCCGTCTGGAAGCTCCTCCCCTGGAACAAGGGCAACGCGCCGACGGCGTCCGTCGCCTGCAAGTACCTCGACGACGACTTCCGCGTCGTCCAGGACGCGGGCGGCGAGTACTTCTGCTACGCGCGGCCCGTCTAAGAGCTTACCCCAGGCGCGGGCGCGGGCGCGGGCGGCGGGTCCCCGGCGGCGGCGGCGCCCGGCGCGTCCTCGCGCACGGCGTTCGCGGCCTTGAGGGCCGCGGCGAAGAGGGGGCTCGCGATCTCGTCGGCGGCCGGCGGCGCGAAGGGGTCGTCGCCCGGCGCGCGCGGCGGCGTCGCGGGCGAGCGCGGCTTCCGGCCCGCGCGCGGCGAGTCGCCGCCCTCGCCGTCGTCGTCGCTCGCGTCGATCTCCTCGGCCACGCGGGCGTCGCCGTTCCACCACTCGAGCTGCTCCGGCGCCGCCTCGGGGGGGCGCGAGAAGTTCGCCGGCACGCAGGCCTTGCGCATGTGCTGGTCGTAGGTCTCGCCGCCCTCGCCGCCGCCGAAGTTCAGCAGCGACTCCAGCACCTCCGCCGCGCGGCTCGGCGACGGCGGCGGCGGCGGCAAGCCCTGGAACGGCGGCGGCGCCGCCGGCGCCGAACCGACGCGCAGCTCCGTCACGTCGTCGAAGTCCACGGGCGCGTCGCGGAGCTTGGCCGGCTCCTCGTCGACGTTGGCGCAGGTGAGCTGGGCGATGACGCCCTGCCAGCTCGTGCACATGACGCTGGAACGCTTCGCCGGTCACCTCGCGCCGGTCCCGTCTCCAAACTGCGCCCCAGACGCTGGGGCAGCCCGGCTGTGGACGGATGTTGCCGGGAAATGTTAACCAAAAAGCCGGACTGGATGCCGGCATGATGATCAGGCTGCTCTGCGCGCTCGGCGCGGTCGCGGCAGCCCCGACGAACTGGTCCTTCGCGACGGGCTCCTACGGCTGCGCGAGCGACGAGGGCGACACGTTCGACGGGGCGGTCGCGGACGCCGAGGCCTTCTGCGAGGCCCGGGGCTGCGTGGGGCTCCTCATCGAGTCGGGCGCCGACCCCTGCGCGGAGCCGCACGAAAACGCGACCTTCACGGCGTGCCGCCGGATGCTCGGCCCGACGGTCCAGCCGGTGCGCAATTGCTTCTACTGCCCCGGCCCGAGCTTCGACTGCGGCATGGCCGGCGACGCGCGGACCTAACGTATGTACAGGTTACGAAAGCTAGGCGACGACCCCGCGGATGGACGTCTTCGTGCGCGCCGGGAACGCGTGGTGGCGGCGCGGGAGTTCCGCCCGCGCGCTCCGGAGCATGGTCTTCGGGCGGCCGTCGTCGTCCGTCTTCGCGTCGGACCGCGCGAGGTACTTGTCGCCCGTGTCGGCGACGACCTTGGTCTTCCAGGCGTCCGTGAAGGCCGCGGACTCCTTGGCGCAGCCGCAGACCTCGTCGTCCTCGTCGACCGTCGTCACGCGGCCGTCGACGTACGCCACGAGGAGCGTCTGCCAGAGCCCGAGCCAGGTCTCGGACGCGAGCGCGCCCGCGGCGACGGCGTGCGCGTCGAGGACGGCCAGCGCCGCGCCGGCGTCGCCCGCCGCGAAGAGCGCCGTCGCCGCGGCCTCGGCGTCCGCGAGCCTCGCGGCGAGCCGCGCGTCGAGCGCCTCCTTCGCCGCCAGGACCGTCGGCGCCGCGCGGTCGTACCGCGTGTACACCTGGTCGGCGACGATGGTGCTGAGCCACCAGGCGTTGTCCAAGGAGAACTCCGTCGTCGTCCCCGGGAGGCCGAGCGCCCGGCGGCAGGCGCTGCGCCCCGCGCAGTCGCCGTCGTCGTAGGAGCGGTGCACGTCGCGCGCGCCGCCGTGGATGGGGATCTTCGGGCTCCAGGAGTGGTCGTCGGCGCCGAACCAGAGCACGGCGCGCATCGGCGCCGGCACGCCCGCGTCCGACGGCGCGACGGACGCGACGAAGTGCCAGGCCGTGTACTGCGTGCCGACGACGCGCTCGTTGACGTAGCTCGCGTTCCCCAGCGCCCACTCGAGGCCGTTCCAGCGGTAGGGCGCGTGCTCCGCGGCGGCGCCGACGTCGACGGCCGGGTCGAACCAGGTGTCCTCGAAGTGCGAGCTCATGAGCGCGTGGACGTCGCCGCGGCCGAGCTTCCGGCTCGGCTCGATCCACAGGGGCATGCGCGCCGACAGGTCGACGCCTCTGGCGTAATCGAGGTATCCCGCGGCGTCGAAGGCCGACGACGCGCGGCGGAAGACGTCCCAGACCCGCGCCTCGCAGAACCGCGCGCCGGCGAACGTCACCGGATCCACGGCGTCGGAGAAGCTCGCGAGCGCCGGGTCCGCGTCCGCCGGGTAGAGGCCCCGGGCGACGAGGAAGTCCACGAGGTCCGGCGACGCGCGGCAGGCCGACGCGTCGTCGCAGGGCAGCCACCGCTGTATGCGCGCCTGGTTCGCGTGCGCGAGGATCGCGCCGTCGGGCACGCGCAGCGCGACGTAGAGGACGCCGTGCGGGTCGAAGTCGCCGCGGCCCGTCAGCTCCATGTACCAGACCTCGTCGCCGTCCGTAATACTAAAACCCTCGAGGTCGCTCGCGTAGCCGTAGGTCTCGCAGAGCGACACCATCGTCGCCACGGCTTCCCGCGCGGTCCGCGCGCGCTGCAGCGTGATCCAGATCAGCGACCCGTAGTCCAGCAGCGTCCCGTTCGCGCCCGTCTTGCCCACGTTCGACAGCAGGGCCAGCCCGCCGTGCGTCGTCTCGCCGATGACGACGCCGGCCTCGTTCGCGTTGCCGACGACGTTCAGGGTCGTCTCGGGCTCGGGGATCGCGCCCAGGAACTTTCCGCTGTCCCAGCTGTAGACGTCGCGCGTCGCCCCGGGCGGGTGGCGCCGGCCGGGCCAGCGGCTCACGGCGCCGATGAGCGCCGCGTCGTCGGCGTTGTAGCTCACGTGGGCGCGCCCGTCGGCGGAGGCGCCCTTCGTGACCAAAATGTTCGAGCAGGCGCGGGCGCCGGCGGCGAGGCCAAACGCGAAGGAGAGGAGGCGGGCCATTCTTCGTCACCGCGTTGCCGCCCGGGGCTGCCGAATGACGGCTCAATTGACTTCAGCGATGCCTCACCGATCTGCCTCACGGCTGCAATGGCCTCGCGCCGCGCGTGCCGCCCGCTGCCCAGCAACCAGGAAACACACCCTTAGAATGGCCGCTCCCTACGAAGGCCCGCTGCGTCTTTGCGACGTCGAGGGCGCGGCGCAGTTGCTGTCGGCGGAGTGGCCGAAGCAGTCGGCGGAAAGCCGCGCCAAGCTCCTGCGCGCGAGCCTCGACGAAGCGCTGCCGCAGCATGTCGTCGTCGTCGAGTCCGGCGCCGTCGTCGCGCGCGACCGCGTCCTCCGAAGCACTTGAAGCGACGAGGCTGGTGATCGAGAGTCGAACGTTTCGGACGAACGCGTGACGATACGAAACGAACACAACCAAAAAAATACAAGCTACATCTGAAGCCTCGTTTACGAATCCCCGCGACCATTCGAGCGTCGCGCGCATCGAAGACCGACGCGCCCATGTAGGCCCACGCGGCGCTGAAGCGCGCCGCGGAGACGTGCGACGGCCGCAACGGCGCCGCGGTGTCGGTCGTCGTCGCGGCGGCGGCGCGGCGGCGCGGGCTCGGGAGGCGCGTCGTGCGCCTCGCCGAGGCCGAGGCGGCGGCCCGCGGCCTCGGCTACGTCTACCTCTGGACGCGCGTCCCCGAGTTCTACGCGGGGCTCGGCTACCGGGAGGCGAGGGCCGTGCCCCTGCGCCGCGGGTCCGCGGCGAAGCTGCCCGAGCCCGCGGTGCTGGCCCTCGAGGCGGCGCTCCTGAAGCGTTCGCCCCCGGCGCCGCCGGAGCGGGAGGACGGCGACGTCTGGATGCGGCGCCGCGTGCTCGACCGGTGCGCCGACGGCGCCGCGGACGTGCCCGCGGCGGCGCTCGCGGCCGCGCTCGGCGGCGGCGCCGTCGCGGTGGGGGTGCGTGCCTTCCCCTGGGAGCGCCAGGTCGGCCCGTCCTGCGGCTGCGCGGCCGTGACCATGGCCGCGGCCGCGCTCGCGGCCGCGGCGGCGCCGGACGTCGCGGGCGTCGGCTTCGAGGCCGCGCCCGCGGACGCGGCGCCCCAAGCCGGCGCGCTCGCGGCGGCCCTGGCCCTCGGCTCCACGGACGGCGAGCTCTTCGACGCGCGGGACCTCGCGCGCGTCGCCGCGGCGCGCGGCCTCCGCGGCGCCGTCGCCGCCGCCGCAACGGCCGACGCGTGGCGCGCGGCGATCGCCGCGAGCCTCGCCGCGGGCGCCGTCGTCGCCTTCGCCTACGACCGCGGCGAGGCGAGCGACGGCTACGCGCCCGTCAAGCGCCGGGGCCACCGCGCGCACTACGCGGTCGCCGTCGCGATCCGCGGCGACGCCGTCGCGTGCCTCCACGGCCTCAGCAGGCGGCCCCTCGTCGCGACCTGCGCCGAGCTCCAGGCGTCCAACGCCCAGATCGCCGAGGTCGACCCGGACGAGGCCGCCTGGGCGGCCGCGGCGGAGCTCAACCTGGCGGACCGGTTGGTGGTCCTGTCGCGGCCGCGCCCGGCGTGCGCGCGCGTGGCCCTGAGCGTGCGCAAGGCGGGCGGCCTCCTGTTCCCGTCCAAGGTCGTGCTCCGCTGGAGCTTCGAGCTCGGGGGCGCCGCGCGCGCCGTCGCGCTGACGGCGTCGCTCCGGAAGAAGACGCGGGAGATCGAGGTCGACGGCGAGGCGCTTTCTCGCGGCGACGGCGCGGCGTTCCGGGACGACCGCGCGAGCCGCTTCAGCTGGACGCGCCACGGCCACCGCTTCGCCCTCGAGGAGCGCCTCGACCTGCCCAAGGGCGCCGAGGCGGCGAGGCGCTTCCGCCTCTCCGTCGACGACGTGCCCTTCGACGTCGGCGCGGGCGGCTGCGTGGCGACCGTCCGCGGGAAGCGGCGGACGCGGGGGCTGTGATGTTTTTAATGCGACGCATGTTGCTGAACCGCGCGAAGCGCTCAAAGGCGCCGCAAATTGGCGGTACGGTTGGTAGGCCATCGTCGACGCGAACTTCATGAGCGGCTCATATCTTCCATCGTGAGATTCTTTGAAGCGGCCCGTGGCCAATTTGGAGGTCGTCGCTTGTCGGGGCTGCCCAGCTATGGGTGCTCGCGGCTACGAGCGCATCTCGTCCGGGGAGGACGAGCGGACTCCGGTCCGATGGACGGGGAAGCAGGCCGTCGTCGCCCTCGCGGCGTGCTCGGCCTTCGCGGCGTACACGGCGCCCCACTCGACGAAGGTCGCGGCGGTCCAGTCCCTCTACAAGGTCGGCCACGCCCTCGAGAGTAGCGCCGCGGTGACCGAGGGGACGCTGCTCGCCGCGGACGTGGCGACCGTCGGGGACTGCGCCGCCTGCGAATGCGACGAGCTCGAGTCCCTCGGCGTCCTCGCCGCGGACGCCGGCGGCGCGACGGAGTCGCCGACGTCGATGGACTACTGGGAGCTGTTCTGGACGGACGGCGAGTTCGGGTCCGAGCTCGACGACTCCTACGTCTGGTGGACGAACGAGGAGCTCGAGGGCGTCCGCGCGAACGTCCTCGTCGACACGTTCGGCGACTCGCGCGGCATCGACATCGACAGCAACTCGACGTCGATCTTCTTCACGGTCGACGGCTGCATCGGCCGCGTCGAGCCCGACGGCCTCGACCTCAAGGAGGTCTTCTGCTACGACGTCGACGACGACCCGGGCTCCCAGATGGAGGGCCTCGCGCTCTACGAGTACGACAACAAGATGTATTGGGTCGACAAGAAGCGGAACACGCTCTACGGCGCGGAGCTCGAGGGCAACGACGGCGACTACTGGGTCGTCTCCGAGAGCTTCGACGAGCCCATCGACGTCGCCGTCGACGAGCGCGCCGCGGCGCTCTACGTCGTCGACAACACGGGCATCTACAAGATGGACCAGGACGGCTCGGACCTCACGCTGGTCCTCTCCGAGGCCGACGCGGGCCTCGCGAACTTCGGCGGCCTGGACGTCGACGCGACGAACCGCCAGCTCTTCTTCGCCGCGGCGAACCAGATCTACGTCGCGGACATCTTCGACCCCGCGGCGTCCTACGCGGCCGTCTACCAGAGCCTCAAATCGCCCATGGGCGTCGCCGTGTCGCCGGAGGAGAACCTCCTCTTCTTCATCGACGACACCGGCGTCTACCGCGGCGACCTCGAGGGCTCCAGCGACAAGACCTTCGTCGCGGAGATCCAGGACGCGCGCTTCTGCGCGGTCCTCTCCGAGTCCGCGCCGACGCCCGCGCCGACGCCCGTGCCGACGAGCCGCCCGTCGCTCGAGCCCACGTCGGCGCCGTCCTTCCCGCCGACGCCCGTGCCCGTGCCGTCGCCGACGTCGGCGCCGTCGCCGCAGCCCACGCCGGAGCCGTCGTTCATGCCCACGTCGGAGCCGACGTTCCTGCCGACGACCTACCCGTCGTTCGCGCCGTCGTCGGCGCCGACCACGTCGCCGACGCCCCTGCCGACGCGCCACCCGTCGCCGGCCCCGACGGGCGCGCCGTCCTACGCGCCGTCGCCCAACCCGACGCTCGTGCCCGTGCCCGAGCCCACGGCCGTGCCGACGAGCCTGCCGACGCCACAGTGCTGGCTCGAGATGAACAAGTGCGGCTACTGCGACGGCTCCGCGGGCTGGGAGTGCGTCGGCGAGGCGCCGCCGACGTTCAAGCCGACGCCCGCGCCCATCACGCCGACGGGCAAGCCCTCGGAGAGGCCCGTGCCGTCGCCGACGGCGGGGCCCGAGCCGGCGCCGACGGCGTCGCCCGTCGCCGCGGCGAAGTTCGTGGCGCCGACGTCGGCGCCCTTCGCGACCATCTCCTTCGCCGGCGCGCCGTCGGCCGCGCCCGTCGCGCCGACGGCGTCACCCCTCGCGCCGACGTCCGGGCCGACGCGCGACCTCGTGCAGTACCCGACGGTCGGCGCGCCCGGCGCGCCGACCGCGACCTACGGCACGGACCCGCCGACGCTCATGCCGCTCCCCGACGAGCAGCCGCCGCCGCACGCGAACCAGACGCACCACCAGAACCGGACGTCCTACCCGACGCTCCAGGGGTCGTCGTACGCGGCGCCGACGTTCCCGGGCTTCGCGCCGACGCACCCGCTCCACACGGGCGCGCCGACGCTCATGCCGCTGCCCCCCGGGCCGCCGCCGCCGCACGCGAACAAAACGCACCACCAGACGCGCACGTCCTACCCGACCTCCAACCCGACGGAGTCGGGCTGAAGAGGCCCGCGCGCCTCGCCTCCCGCGAACTCCCGCCCCCGCCCCCCGACACTAACAACCTCCTCTCGAACGGCGCGGTTGACCCGTCGCGAGCGGAGAACGGCGCAGGCGTAGCGCCGGCCGTCGACGCCCGCGGCAACGTTGGCTACTGTGGAAACCTTGAAGTTGAACCAGAATGAGCAGTACGGCCACTGCCCAAAGTGGCTGAGAGTCTGGGAAGGCTGCCGCTGGATGGAGGTCGGAGGTGGCGCCACCACGGAGACGCCGAAACGACGCATCGACGCGCAGCACGACCAGGCACCCGTCAATCGAGGTTTTTGGCAGAGCGTCGGGTGGGGCGGAGTCGGTTCCGGCCTGGTCTTCGCGGTCGTCGGCGCCATCCTCGTCTACAGCGGCTGCAACGGCTTCCAGCTCTACGCCTTCAGCCGCAAGAACGTGTCCGAGTGGAAGAAGAAGAAGGTCGACACGTGGCGCTCGGCGGGCTTCGACACGACCGAGATCTATTACGAGTACGAGTACAAATTAGACCTACCGCGGAGCGACTTCGACTTCGAACACTCGGACAACTACAAATACGCGCGACTCGTCCAGTGGTACGACTACGAGAACGCGGACACGCTCGTCGGCGCGTGCGTCTAACTCTTGCTCGGCGTGATCTCTTTGAAGGTGGCGTACGGCGTGAAGCTGCTGTGCTTCGAGATGAGCTTCGATTGGCGCTTCCAGGGGAACGGGGCGGTCGAAAGATGGGAGGACGATTGGAGTTGGGCAGCCTTTGGGTCAGGTTATCAAGTGGGACTCAGCACGGGCTACGCGAATCTTGACGCGCAAATCGTCCGCCGCCGCCTGCGCGAGGGCGCGACGAAGCATGACGCGGTGGTGACCACGCTTTGGGGGACGCATCTTTGCACCGTGCCCGCGCTCGAACCCTATGACCTGTGGTTCATCGACGACGACGATGGACAGCAACGCCCTCGAGTCGCTTCCGGAGTCGTTCGGCGACCTCTCGAGCCTCGTCTCGCTCGCCGTGAGCCACAATGCCCTCACTTCTCTGCCGGAGTCCTTCGGCGGCCTCGAGAGCCTCGACGAGCTCTTCCTCGAGGACAACGCCCTCACGTCGCTGCCGGAGTCGTTCGGCGCACTTGCGAGTCTCGACGAGCTCCACCTGCACGACAACGCCCTCGTGTCGCTGCCGGAGTCGTTCGGCGGACTCGAGAGCCTTGTCACGCTCAAGCTGAACCACAACGCCCTCACGTCGCTGCCGGAGTCGTTCGGCGACTTCGAGAGCCTCGCCATGCTCTACCTGCAGGACAACGCCCTCGCGTCGCTGCCGGAGTCGTTCGGAAACCTCGCGAGCCTCGTCACGCTCGAACTGCGCAACAATGCCAATCTCTCGAGCCTCCCCGCTTCCTTCCTCGAACTCAGCCACCTGGAACCGGTATCACTTGCGGGCACGGCCATCTGTGCGAATGGTGGGGCTCCGGCGCTCGATTCCGCGTTCGACGACCTTATCGAGGCCGGAGTCATCTTCTGCGAGGTTGTATGCCTGCCTACGTGCTACGGCTCTACGTGTGACGCTTTTGGTGTGATGCACGGATTTTCCTGCGCCGCG